AATAGTAGTTAGCCCTAGCCACCCTCATCGCCACTAGGTAGGATCTAACATGTATCCTAACCCGTGTTCGGTCGGGTTCGGTTCGGCTGGCCCTCCAACATCTCTCTAGGCATCTTTTCCGACGTTTCATCTCTCTCAGCTCCTCGGCAAACCAGGGAGCCAATCGAGATCTACGTCGGGTCAGAGGCCGCAAAGGCACTGCATTCTTACACATTTTATACAAAACCCAGTTTGTACGTTAAATGAAAAATGTCTTTTGCTTCAAATACAAAGCAAACTATTGCAATTTGGAAGTTTTGTTGGAAGCTTTGTTTTGTTGAATTTACTACTTACAGAAACAAATCTAGTTGGATTGATTTTAAGAAGGATGTAGGGCAAAACTGATTCGTGTTGTACCCTCTCCTCTCTCCTTTTCTGCATGGCTGGTGTGTCTGCTCCATATTGCAATGGCCTTAACAATGCCCAGCGAGACCTTTTCCATCAGCCAGCCCACCCATCTTTCTAGTACCTTCTTTTCTTTGCCTCTCCTCAGCTGCTACCAATGTACTGGCTTGTGCCTTTAATCCTTAAGCCAATGATCTTAACATCTCCCAGCACTAGGTATCTCCCTGGCATCCAAACTTCTCAACATCTTACCTTCCTTCTATGCCCTGCCTTCACTTAGCTACTGCCAAATTATGGCCTTTGCACCTGTTCTTAATGTTTTCAAATGTTCCCAGTGGCACGTTACACTTTGGATATGGAACATCTAAAACTAATTGATATGTATGTATAATGTTTGAAAAAAAGCCCTATATATAAGTCTTATATTATTACAAGAGGCAACTAGTGAGAAGATAGTATCTTAAATAAAACTGATTAGCAATGAAATACTTGTATGACTTATGTATATGAATGTTTAATAGAATTACTTTCAAAATACAGAAATGGACAGAAAATGAAATCTAGTTCTAATATGTAACTAATATGCAGCTGTGTGATATCATTAAAACTACCTCCCCCAAAAACTCATGCTTACTATTACTGTGACATAAATACACTACAACTAAATACAAATGGCAGCTAATATTCCAAAAATGCATACAAAATAATATTTATGTAAGTGGTTATTTCTGAAGAGATACAGAATAACAAAACTGTTATTATTCACATTGTAGAGTAATATATTCATTACCATTTTCTTCCAAGAGGCACACAAAGGCGTGGGTATCAAAATAAAGTGTTCTACTTCCCAATGGTGAACATCTGCTTTTGCTGTTTTCAAACTGCAGAGCTGATGCAAAAAAAAAGAAGAAGCTTTAATATAAAACAAGTTATTGTTTTCTCTTTTACAGTAAAACAAATAGTGTATTTCGGCTTTAAATAGCTGGGGTATGTTCTCTGTAACAACAGCTTCCACCAGTTAAAACATTTATGTCTATTTTTTTTACCAAAAATGGAGTGGAATTTTTATAATTCTCATTCCTTCTTCCTTAAATAGTTAACTGCAAACATGCAACGATGAAGAATATAAAGATGTTTATGATTTTGTACAACAATCGTTTAATTAAAAGTGTTTTAACATCAACCTCAGCCCATTACACTTTTTAAAACATTTAACCAATTTCACATGGATTAAAATGAAGTACATTCCAAAATGTACTTTGTTTTAATCCATGTGATCTGAAATGACTTAGCTTTGGTTAGATGCTGTTTTCCACAGACTGCTTCTTAACGATGGGGGAAAGGTGACTTTTCAACAGAGCTCCTGCAATTGTTTTCCTTCAAAGTGCAAGTCATTATAATAATTAGACAGTGTTGGTCTCTGGTCTCCTTTACTATCCACCAAGATGATATTGTATTGTCTTCCCCTCCTTCTTTCTTCCCCTCCTTCTTTCTATGGTCCAAGGATTTCATCTAAATTCTCATGGACAAATTATCATTTCTAAGATAAACTGCCAATTCTTATGGAACTTGAAACAGTAACAGCTGATTACATTTCTTTTGCCATTGCTTTATTGTTCATTTGAATTTTTGAATTTTTGAATTGTATTTTTAATTAATACACATTTTCATTAATTATTTTAAGCCACTTTAGTTGCAATTTTAATTATTTTAAGTCACTGCTTTGTTTCTTTTAATAGGAAACAGAATACAAATCTTTTAATCAAATTATAGTGTAAATTGTTGTGGGATGCAATCCATTTCATCAAATCCTTCAATAATTAATCTGAAAAATAGACTAATAGTGTAATTTAGATAACTTCTAAATCTGATCAGCTTGGCTCACTTAGTATGATATAGGTAAATGTTCTGTGCAAACACCCAGAGCCAATAAGATACCTTTTCATCTAAGTCCTTTCTACCTTCTAAAGATATTCAAAGAAAAATCCTGCTAGCCAAGGGAAGATTGTTTCTTTATAATTTAAACTTTGTGATCATGTGTGTATATGGGGGGGGAGGCACATATTATGGAGTTTGTGGGAGAGGAATTAAACCTTTGCTTTTTAAAAAATTATATTTACTGCTTTTCATTTTTAACTCTATTTTTTTTTTAAAAAAAAAAATCCTGTGGTAATAATGATGGATGGCTGAAGAGCCTCCCAACAATTTGCGGTATTTTTGTTTGTACTTGTTCGAGTTTATTTTTTGTTCTATAATAAGTTCTCATACACTAAATCAAACAAAAAATGTAGGGCTTCTAGATTTGTGTGGCTCGGACTATCATTATCTTTCCACTTTGTACTTTTGATTGTGACATTACTTACTGCTTAAGATTACTCTTGCTTCTTATAATCTGCTACCAGTTCTGCAGAGTTGGATACTATCTTAAATGCTTATTTACTTTAGTTAATGCAGCGTACAATGATCAAATCATGACTGGTTATTTACACAGAGGCAGTCAGTCTCCAAAATTATACAATACATAAATATTACTATATGAAAGTATGCAGCATACGGTGGATATATTAAATTTTATAAATAATATAACCCTTCGTTACTGTAAACTCAGACCTTTTATCATTTCTCACCTAAACGATGCGATCTACTCTGTACCACTTAGAACCCAACCAATCTGACCCCTTCCAAATGTTTCACGTTATAGTACAACCTCCATGAACTCTGATCAACTAATGCAGGGGTTCTCAACCTTGGCAACTTTAAGACTTGTGGACTTCAACTCCCAGAATTCCTCAGCCAGCTTTGCTGGCTGAGGAATTCTGGGAATTGAAGTCCACAAGTCTTAAAGTTGCCAAGGTTGAGAACCCCTGAACTAATGGGAGCGAGTGGGGAAAGTGAAATCGAAAACGTGGGAAGAGTATCGGGCTAACTACTCCGGAGTAGAACAGTGGTGTAACTGCGGCTTGGAAAACAGCCGCTTTTTCCATTCCTCAAGTATCAGAGAAACGACGTACAGATTCCACTCCCTCCAACGTGCCCGGTCTCACCTCGTCCTTCCACCGCTCGGCAGCGACTCCCGTTCAGGCTGAGGAAGCGGATCCCCACCGCAGGCGAAGGGACGCCTTCGGCACGCGACAAGGAAGGGGCGCGCGCCTCACAGCGCGGCTGTCCGTCCGGGCTGACTCCCGCCGCCCGCGCGCGCGCTCCGAAAGCCCTCCTCGCGAGGCCGCTCACCCGCTTCTCATCTCCTAGGCAACGGCCAGGAAAAGGGGAGCGCGCGACGCCGAAACGCGAAGCGCCTACGCGGAGAAGGACGGCGGGTTCTCCCTGGACGAGGAGCGAGCCTTTGTGCCCGTTCACCACGATGGCGGCAGCGGCCAGACTTCTGACCATCCCTGCTTTTGCTTTTCGCGACGCGACGGGGGTCGTTGCTTCGTTTCTTCGCGCCGGAGGTCGACCAGTTGCTCCTCGGAAGGCGCTCGGTTCCGCGGTCTGCTAAATCCCGGCATGTACGGGTCCCGGTTCAGTGAGCACGACGCATGCGCCCTCTGAAAGAGGCGGGTGGTTTCGAATGACGTTCGGAAGATCCACCCGCTCGGCTGCGTGTCTCTAGGGCAGGGGAAGGCAACCTTGGCTCTTTTATGACTCGTGGACTTCAACTCCCAGAATTCCTGAGCCAGCCATGCTGGCTCAGGAATTCTGGGAATTGAAGTCCACGAGTCATAAAAGAGCCAAGGTTGCCTACCCCTGCTCTAGGGTTTTGTGTTTTTTTTTCCCCCTCCCTTCTCCGGGTGAGGGGGCGTTGCACACTTGGAAACAAAACGAACACATGCGAATTGTAGCGTATGGGGAGAGCCCGAACACACGCAGAGAGGCGTTCCGTATGCACACAGCCTACAGTAATTAGACACTGGGGAGAATGCACACAAACACGCAGGTGTGCATGTGAGAGAATCCTGCAAAGGAAAGCTTCCAAAATGGACTGGTTCTGAGTTGGAGCTGTGGAAAAAAACAAACGCCATCAAAACTGCCCTTGGTGAGGCAGTTGGGCACAGCATAGAAATAGTTGCTGAATGTGCCGTTTTAAGCCCCTTTTCTCCTGGCTAGGTGATTAGTGTGGAGTGTCAGCAGTCTGTTCTGTGCTTCCCCAAACTCATAAACAGACCCAAGATGAATGATCAGGAAAGCAGAAACCAATGAAAGAAGTGACCCAGAAGAAAATACAGATGCCTCCCATGGCTATTGCTGGTCAAAGGGTTGGAAAATAATCCAGATGTCATTCTTTGTTTCCCAACTTTTGTTTTGTGACAGCATGACTCATATAAGATAATTCACAATTTAGTGTTTGCTCCTTACAAAGAAATCGGGGAAAACTAATAGTACAGATTATTTTGCTATTTCAAGCTATGGCAGATAATACTAATGCAAAGGACCCTGGCTGTGATTTGAATGAATGATAGGATTTGTTTGAGACCAAACAAACCTATCCTTCACACATTTGTTTTAACTTTTAAACTATTCTCAAGAGCAACCCAAAGGTGCTTTTTCAAAAGGCAACTGGACTTTATTTTTTCCTTGAAGACTTTCCTTTCACTTCTCATCCAAGAAGCAACATTTCCCAAACTCTTGTCTTTTAGAGGAGCTGAATTTCACTTCACACTTTACTTCATATTTATTGGCTGGAGTGAAAATCATTCCAAAATGTCTTCTGAGGTCTTTCTTCATAAATGAGTTGAAGTCCTTTCCACTCATCTTTGAGCTGCAGCAATCTTTATCATCCTGAAAAATTGATCGTCTTCTGTTATCTCTGTTTGAAGTCACTGTTCAATTTCCCTGGGTTTATTTTCCAAAGAAACCAAAAACTCAGTTCTTCAGTGTTTCCCTTTCAACAATCATAGTTAGGGTGGGATGGGGCTGAAAATGCAAAAAAGTAACTATTGGGCTATGTACACTTTGGGGGTCAGGGGTTCCACATTCCTAAAATAAAAGGACTTAGAGATGTTTGCTTAAAAATTTAGTCTTTGGAAGATTCCAGTGTTAAGTTTTTAAACTACCATTCTACTTTTGCACTTGCTAGAATCACAAGCTGTGGAATTGTTAGAATACTTATTAAAATATTTTCACTTTTCTCTTCAGGTAAAAGTAGCTTCCAAAAGAGTTTACATAAAATCAACAAAATCAAAATAGCTCTTGTCTATAGGTAGTCTTTGTCTTAGGACCCCAGTTGAGCTCAAAATTTATGTTGCTAAGTAAGAAATTTGTTAAGTGAGTTTTGCCCCATTTTACAACTTTTCTTGCCACATTTGTTAAAGTGAATTACTGCAGTTGTTAAATTAGTAACACAGTTGTTAAATGAATCTGGCTTTCCCACTGACTTTGCTTGTCAGAAGGTCACAAAAAGTGATCACATGACCTCAGGACACTGCAACCATCTTAAATATGAGTCAATTGTCAAGCATCACAATGTAAATCACATGACCAGGGGGAATGCTGCAATGATCATATGTGTAAAAAATGGTCATAAGTCACTTTTTAAATGCCATTGTTACATTGGTCACTAAACAAACTGTTGTAAGTCGAGGACTATCTGTACTGGCTTTATACCCAAAAGAAAGAGGATATCAAGAGTAAAAAAGAAGAAAGGAAGAAAGTTCTAGTAACAGTTCTAACAGTTTGAGAATAACAATATTGTAATCAGAAGTTGTCTGGAGCTGATATAGTAATTCTGCTTCCTATCTCTTATTTCAACCTGATGAATTGACAATGATTAGGTCTTCATGGTCTTCATTTCTCTGCAAAAGAAACAGTTTAAGGCAGTGGCCCCCAACTTTTTAGGCACCAAGGACCAGTTCTATAGTTTTGTGTGTTGCCTGTATGCTATGGATAGGGCTTTGCTTGTTTGTGTGGCCCAGTTTCTGGCATGCCATGGACCGGTGGCGGTCCGTGGACCGGGGGTTGGAGTTCCTTGGTTTAAGGAACTAACTTGGAGATTACATTTGAACAATCAGAAAGAAAAATTCACTTTCATTTAGCCTGTGTGTATCAACTCTTGTGTTTGTCAGGTTTTGCTGCCCAAACCTCCTACTTACTTTGCCTGTGGTCTCCTGTGCCATCATATTTGAATATAGGCTTTCTATGTTTAAAGACTTGGGGATGATTTAAGCTTTGGAATAAATGCAAAAACATTAAAAAAAATCCCCATCTACTTGCACTTCTCTACTTTGGTCTTGATGCACATTTTAAGCAGACAACAAGAATCTCTAGGGCAGGGGTCCCCAACCTTCATGCGTTGGCGGCCAGGGGTGGGGGGTGGAGGTGCCTTTATGCATGCGAGCAGTCACATACATGGCACCACGCACGCATGAATGGAGCTGTGATTGAGCATGCATGATGCTTGGGTTACGCTAGCGCCCGTGCAATGCCGCAATGATAGTATGAGTGGGGAGGTTGCACTTGCAGCAACGATAGCATTGGCATGACACCGCGATTTGACTATCCCTACCAGATGGACTATTATGTGAATAAACATTTGTTTGAATATGGCTAAAAGAACAGAGAATTTCAAACATAAAGGGGCCTTATATCAAGAAGGATAATGAGATTTAAGCAATATGTTTTATAATATATTAAATGTTAAAATAGTAGGTTGATGTAACTTTTATTAATATGTAAATATAATATAAACTGATTAAAAAGGATGTTATATCTAGATACTATAAGACAGATAAAAAGTATAGTATTTTTATAATGCATGACATAAAATATTGGGATGATGTACCTAAATGGCAAAATTTAGACAGATGACTAATATGAAGAAATTATGACTGATAAGAATTGGATTGAATATAAGGGAATTTAAGCGAACAAAAATTATAAAAATAGGATGTATGCTGAACTAATGAGATGATGGTTATGAGAATAATATAAGCTGAAAAAAAATGTTATATAGAGAGATTATTATTATTTGTATAAATATAAAAAATGCCTATACCTAATCATTTATATATTGAAAATATTAAGAATTATATTTTGGCTAAGGTTGAAGAAGGAAAATACAAATGGGAGAAGGAAAGATCAAAGAAATTTATCATTAATATATTATGGAATTATCAAATTTAATCATTATCGATTGTTAATTAATTATTACTGTCCTTTTTTTCTTGTTAAAATATAAACCAAGACAAGATGCTGTACACCAGGCACTGGAGATTGTTATAGTTAAAAACCAATAAAATATCTATATATATATATATATATAAAATCACCAGGAAGTATGATAATGAATTGTCATGTGTCTGTTCTTGGACTGTTTGCTTTATAGACACCTAAATATAATAAACCTCTATTAAATTTAACCCCTCTTAAATTATATTATATAAAAGTTTTCTTGTGAGTTCTTTTTTCATCATAGTTGGGAACAAAGGAATCTCATTTACCTATTACTCCTATTTTCCCATGCAAGAGAGATTTGTCATACTACAGAGATAAAAGGATATAGCCAGCTGCAAATGCTGGAAAATCATCTCATTGTCTCTTTCGTGTATTGAAATAATTAAAGCCTGTTTTATACCATCAAACCACGACGATAACTTTTGATATGTATGAGTTTCTAGACTATTTTGGTTTGAGCTTGAATCATTAACTAGATGTAATAAGAGTTATTTTGATGTTTAGTCTTCAAAGAACATTTTCACACTCCAGCCTGGGCTACTGCTAAAACATATACTTGCAAAGAAAAGTACCAGTCTTCTTGCCATTTGGATTATCTAAACAGCTCTTCAGTTTATCAAGAAAAAATACGGTATAACATCAACCTAAAATTGACACTTTTGTCTTTAACATGCATGGCAGGCAAATATTTTTCAAGGTTTGAAAAATAGCGTTTCTGGTCATGAAATTTGGTAAATGATTGATTTATAGATTTATAGTATAAATCTCCTTATTCATTGATGCAATTTAAGAAATTGACTCGGTTTTAAGTTAGCTGCTAGGTTATTGCAAAGCACTGGAAATTCAAGTAAATTTTGTTGGATTGGTAATAAAAAATATGGGATAGTGCTTTGGTTTAAGAATTAAAAACAAAGAACTCTGAAATGAAAGACAAGATCAGTCAAATGTAGTCCTCAATTATTAGCTGTAATAATAAAAATATTCCCAATAGATAACCATCAGGATATATTTTAATGGAAATATTTAATAGAATTTTTTTTAAATTGTTCAAAATCACGTAGGTATGCAGTAATATCCCAGCTGAGGAAGGGTTGTTTGTTTCTCATTTGCTGTTAATTAGCTTTTTTCAATTTTGTATGATTATTACCTCCACTACCGTAATTATTTGATTTTCGTTTTGTTTTTATATTGCAAAAATATTAAAAGAGACAGCAGAGGCAAGA